GGGTGAGGTTAACCAGCGAGGGCTGACCGGGGGGGTGAGGTTAACCAGCGAGGGCTGCCCCCAGCCCGGCCAGAGCAGCCCCCAGCCTCACTCCACCGTTAACCAGCCAGCTAACGAAATGGGGTTTCACATCCCTGTGCCATTCAGACCCCCTGCCCCGCGGTGAGCTCAGGTAGCAGCCCTCAGGCCCCCCAGCGCAGGGCCTGGAGCCTGACGCAGCAGGGGCAAGAACCTTAACCAGCCAGCTAACGAAATGGGGTTTCACATCCCTGTGCCATTCAGACCCCCTGCCCCGCGGTGAGCTCAGGTAGCAGCCCTCAGGCCCCCCAGCGCAGGGCCTGGAGCCTGACGCAGCAGGGGCAAGAACCGAATGAACAGCAGGTACCCCCGCCCCAGGGAGCCGCATGGCACCCAAACACAAACCAAGCCCACAGCCTCCTTGGCCGGGCTCCAGGCCGGGCCCCTCCCTGCCCTCACACGGATGCGGGTAGAGGGGCGCATGGATCAGGCGGGCCTGGTAAGGGTCTGCCCCGTTCTGGTCAGTGCCCCTTGGACCCGCTGTGGGAACAACTGCAGCTCTCCAAGCCGGGTGGTGCCCCAGCCAGCGGCCCTGCACAGAGCTCTGTGTGCCACGCCAGGCACGCGCTGCCGGACCCCGTTCTCCCAAAGGGCTCCCAGTGCCCAGGCCTCACCTGCGGCGGCATCACAGCCCCACCGGGCGCATGCAGCCAGGCCCGTCGGCTCACCTTTGCAACTGGTGGCTCCGCAGAATCCGGCAGTTAGTGAACTGCAAGATTGGCGCGTCCGAGACAGACTTGTTGGACGGCATCGCTGGGCTGAGTGAAGGGGAGTGATGCAGATGATGGGACGTGTCCTGCAACCTCCCCCAGGCCCAGGCAGAAAAACAAGGAAGGAGAGAAAGGGGGTTAGGGCGCCGAGCTGGGCCGGGCGGGCGGAGGGGAAGGGGGTTAGGGCACCGAGCTGGGCCGGGCGGGCGGAGGGGAAGGGGGGGAGGGCAC